AATGGACTATTACTCATCTTTAGACCCGCGATCATTGAATTCAACGCCGACTCTGTTTGAGATTGTCTCCTCTGATGAGCTGTCCGGGTTGTTATCGCCTTCTCTGAGGTACATCATTGTCCACTATGCACAGAAGTACCCACGCCAGTTGTTGCCATTAGCATTGAGATTCGACGAGATCAATCTGACCCTGAGAGGGCTATTGGAGTGGTATTTTCTGCGGAAGTGGAACGCTACGTTCACAGATAAGTTTTATGGGCTGAAGAGGGCAAGCAAGGTCAATGTTGAGGTTGTGAACCAGGATCAAATATTCAACTTGATTGAGACTCAAAGGAGATTGAGTTCGGTTCAAATCGCTGGAACTTTGGTCAACACGGTGGGGGTTTCCTATGTGAGAGAGAAGTTGGATGTTCTCTATGAACGGCTCATGGTGAAGGTTACACTGAGACAACTGAAAATCACAGATTGGAGGAGTTGGCTAAAAGTTTGGTTCGTCAAACTGTACCCAAAGTTGAAGAAGCTGCTGAGACTTTTGAACCTTTTATGTCAAATCGTATATCTTTCTGGAGGCTCGAAGAGTCCAAGCATCATTGACTGGCTGTTGAGCATTGAATACTCAAGAATAACCCAGTTTGATCATGAATTGCACGAGAGGAAGAAAGTTGCATCACCAGAAATCGGAATTGACCGGAGTAGTGCAACGAGACCACCAAGCTTTGGACAGGAGTTTCTGTCAGTTGCAACCAGGTACTACGAACCTATGCAGGCATTTGCAGGACAAATCTCTACAACAGCATTCCCATTGGCAATCTTCGTTCTGAAATTCCTCGAGTGGTGGAACTCAAGCGAATTTGCTTCAAAATTGAGTAACCAGAGGTTTGACAAAGACATTCCGCCACCACCAGGCCAGTACCCTCTACAAAACTCACCAAAGTGCCCACTCTGTGCCGAGGATATCACCAACCATGCGATCATTGAGACAGGCTACGTGTTTTGCTATCCCTGTATAACTCGCCATCTCACAGAGGGAGATGCCAAACACGGTGGTAGATGTCCTATCACAGGCCAAAAACTACTAGGATGCCGTTATGACTACGCTTCAAAGGAGTGGAAAGTTGACGGCATAAGAAGGCTGATCATTTGACACGCCAACACATCGTAAATACATAACCACAGTATAACAGACATATCAATCATCCCACCAAAGGGTAGTACACCATCTCGGTGTGGCTTTAACCTTTACCCGTTGCCCTGAGAACAGCATTGTTTATCTTTCGGCGATAGTCGGGTGCGCCACAAATACAGGCTATCTGGATGTCTGTCCTTAAAAACCGCGCGCTTACCCTTTTCAACTGTTCCGGGGGTGGAAGGCGCCAAAACTAAAATCTTACACAAACAACCCACACACCAACACAAGACGCTGAAAAACACCGGCGGACACATACTTTTTTTTTCGTATTGGAAGGAGGGGCCTTGTTTGTTTCCAGCTCTTTTTCCCTAGTTACGAGTGTTTTGTTGATAGTTGTTGATAATTGTTGGTTTGCTCCTGGTAACTGGTCTATTCATTCATTCTCACTTAACCATCTGGCCAATATACAGCACTAGAGAGGTGCAATCAAACAAGACACGTGGAATATATCATAGTGCTACCCCATAGTTATGAACTTTGCAAATGTTGTTCACGTGAAGAAGAAGAAAGGGAGTGTACTACGCGACAGTATGGATGACGATGAGAGCACAAAGAAGACACCTTACCAGCGTTTGAATAACGCGTCGTCGTTTGACTCTGGAGACGTGGTT